ACAGGGCACTTACAATCAACGTTAATTACCAAAAGTAGGTCAACATTTGCAAAAATAGCCTTTTCGCGCGAATCCTGCACTAGAAATTTGGTAATAGATACTGCAAAATTAGCCATTAATTTCGCACAATATTTTTAAAGTATACCTTGAATATTACATCTTTTTACTTTTTCTTAAGATGTTAGTACATTTTTCTCTTTGTATCAATCTTTTACAGTGTAGATTTGTATATATATGTAATAGAAATTCGGTTCGGATGCATGGCGCTATAGTGAGACTATAAATGCCTGTAGACAATAATTCAAATAAATGTTTACAACATATACCTTGTTTTTTGGGGTTTTTTTGTTTGTTTGTTTGTTTTATAATTTACCATTCATCTTAAATCAAACACTACCGTAACAAGATGGATAAGTTTGGAATATAATCGGAAATGAACGTACGTTTCCAACTAATAGCATCAAAATCTTTAACTCTACACATATTATTACTAATATATAAAGTTTGCCCTATTTTATGGTATTCATTTAGATAACCTGAAAGTGAGGAAACAGATGAAGATAAAAAATAACTTGGTTCATTCGATTGATATTTTAGAACAATATCAGTAAGGTACATTCTTCACATGTAGAACTTAACATATGAACCCGTAAGGGCTTCATAAACAACGGTACATAAGAGGGGGGAAGATATACATGCTCACATTGACATATCTAAATAAAAACTAAAAAGGGGAGATCCCTCTGAAGTAATAGAAAAATATAATAATTACAGACTCGGGTTGATTAAGCTACGAGAGAAGTGCAACATCTCTCAAGCCAATAGCACCGCCTTCAGTGGCATTTAACTGATGAGGAAGTTTCGTGTTCTTTTTCCTTCTTATTTTCCTTGATAATTTTAATACTTTTTTTTCTTTTATTTGATGATCACCATGAACAGGAAAATGTCGAAATGCACAATATGATATATTTCTAATGTCTAAGTGTTAACATTCAATTTGTATTGACTACCAGAGGTAAAGAATGCACATGTGTTTGTAAAGATTTGCTTTTTTGTATTTTAAGATTAAGTAATTATTCTTACATCGATTTATTTTTTACAAAACACCACTGAATCAAAGTGGTATGGTAATCGTTTGTTGTTTTCGTTATTGAAATTTTCAGTTTGCAACGGTGGTATAAGGTGATTTAGACAATGTAAATATTATGTAATATTTATCAACATTTCAGGTATTGATTTAACATTTGCAGTTATTTTGGGAGGAATCCAGATGTTGATTTAGAAAACATTAGCGTTTCCAAGATAAACAGTTGCATGTTACAGTAGTGTGCAAAATTGTCGAAAGGTGTATTCAACAAAACACCAAAACATACAAATTCTATACTGTTTTAAAGAATGAAATAATTGTAGTTGAATTGTAAATGATGCAGGTTCTGAATTGTAGAGCATGCTCTTGATTGTCAGTGGTAATTGCAAATTGTCATCGGTAAGCCGATTATAAACATGTATTTAGAATTTGAATTTTAACCCATTACTTCATATACACGCCTTTTAACGCCTTTTTCACCCCCCCCCCTTTTGTTGTCTCAAATGATGAAAAAAGGCCTTATTTAGGCCCCAAACACTTGTTTTTGTTTGAGAAATGTTGTTAAAAAAAGTGACCTCTTTTTCGGCGCGGCCCCCAACCAAAAGATATATCAGGGGGTTGCCAGAAGGGGGATGTGCCCACTTCTGTTTGGGGGGTTTGAAGGGGGGCGGAGTCCCCTTCATCGCCAAGAAAATTTTAAACTTGTGAGAGGCTGTAAATGACCCCAGATTGATCATAAGGTAACGTGTAACCAACGCTGAAAAGCATTTGACTCTATCTCAATCCATTGAGAAGTTGCAGCACTTTGAAATCAATTTTGTTGGAAAAAAATCAACGCAAAATAGTGTTTTTTTGGCAATTTTGAGATGTCCCCTCGCTGCCATGGTAACAGAAAATTTAAGCCTGAGCATGTTGTTGCAAGGGCAATGGTCCAGTCAACATTTGTGCCAAGTTTGATTAGTGTTGAAGCAGTTTTTATAGTATTATAGCAATTTGAACTTGTAACGGGAGACTTTTCAATGAAAACAGCCATTTTTCACAAAATGCTCATGAAGTAATGGGTTAAAGAAAAAACTTTTACAAAGGTAATCATGCTCCTGTTAAAATATTAAGTAAACCCAAAATATGACCTCTGTTTATTCATTTATTTGTTCGCAGAGTTAATACTTTCCACAAAGATATTAATTGAACAAAGTAATGAAATTATTAATGCACTAACCTAACTGAAGGAAAAATTCTTTTACTCTACTCTTTTACGTTAAGGAACTGCCAACACAAGCATTGTATTTTTTTAGGTATTGTGTAGGATGTTTCAAAACCTTTAGGCATCCAGATTTTGCCACATCTAGCATTTGATTTACATATATATTTAGTGCAGTTGTTTGCGTTAATTATTGATATGAATTTTGGGAATAGCAAGTAATTTGCATTGAAAATAAGTATAATATACAAATATTATTATAGCCAGCAAATAAAGTTAGTTCAAATCGTGCGTAGTTCTTTCAAAACGTATCGAAATGATGATGATATAACTGTCTTAGTTCAAGATTACCTGTGTAGAAAGACACATACGCAAAGTTAACATGATATATTACAAAGCAAAGCATTGCGAAGTTACTTTGGAGCTTGATAGGGTTTGATACAAAACGCATAATTTATTCTGACAAATTTCACTGTTTGACAAAATACAACATCGATCCTCAGACTCAGACTGAAAATATTTGCTAGTGTCTTATACCTAAACAATTGAGAAATTTATCTTATTCCATCACAAGGCCGCCCACGTCGGCCTCAGTGTCATACTTTAGCTAGGTAAGCGCAAGCTATATAAAGTATTTTATATTGACTGTGAAAATAACCTTATTTATGTCATGTGCTATGTGATGTCACTTAAATCTTAATAATCAAATTAACTTTGTGCTTCTGACAATTGTCGAGACCTTAAAGTACTTGATAAAAGTTTTGTAATAAATCAACATAATCGTATTAGAATGAGTTATTTAATATTCTTAATTTACATGAAAATTAAATCGAAAATGGCAATATTTCAAACACGTTTATGAAATATATATTGCTATTTGCAACATACTATTTTGTTAAAGATCAAAACCGAGCATTAAGACTGAGGGGTTTGCTATTCATGGTTGAAGCATCACATGATCTAAGGGGCGACTAAATGGGCTCGAATTAATGGAGTCTATGCATCTCTTAGCTCCAGCAGGTCACATGGTTTTGGAGTTTTTAACATCCAAGGTTAGCCAAAATCTTCTTTCCTGTTTCGGCGCCATATATACTGTGTTAGTGCGCTATAAACCCAAATGAACAAGGTCAGCCGATGGTATACATGATGTTATAATACGAGATTTATATCCTGTTGTGGACCCTAGCCAAATGACATCATGATTTATGTAATCTTTTGAATATTCTTACCTGTTGAACAAGTAATGTTTATACTATTGAACAATATATTATTTTATACCATTATAAAAAAACACAATTCAAATGTGACCTTCTACAAGAAATAGGTCATCCATCAGCAGAAATATGCTGGAATTTTGACCTACATTTTCCGAAAGTACTTCTTAGAAAAAATGATTTATTTTAATGTACCTATTGTAGGTATATGATTATAAACACATGCTCGTGTAATGAACGTTACATGAGTATAGTACTAACGATGTTTAAGACATAGAAGTGCTATTAGTTGAACAAATTGTTAAGTGACAACCGTGATTCATGTTCCTGTTTTGTTACTTGGTTAATATAACAACACTCACTTGTAAAGACATGTAATGAAATGTAACTTAAGTGTTGTTGTATTTTTCTGGTTATTCGGGATGACTGATTCCTGCACGTCAGTGATGAAGATTAAATACCGCTTAAGCCGGTGGTGAAAAAATATACTTAACATTATACTTTAATACAGCAGAATAATAGCCGTAAAGTTATTGCCACAAAAACATTCTTTAAACCATTCAAATTTCAAAATTTCGTAATAAACATATCGTACACAACCAGATTATAACTTTTATATCTCTTTTTTAATATATGTACAAAAAATATATTCAAAATAAATGTGTTGCGCCTTCTTCTTTTTTGGGGGGCCGTTAAGTGTCTATAGTTGTCTTGGCTTTCGGGAAATTGGCTATTTGCCATGCGTTTCCCGGGATATGCCAGACATGTTATCCGTGAGCAATGTCATTGCAAAACATTGAAAATATTTCAGCGTTTAAAACACACAAAATAACACATCATCTGTAAAATTAACCTCAACCAAGAATCTTTTTTAGTCCCCTACCGGTTTACCGGAGGGGACTTTAGGTTTACCCTCCGTCCGTCTGTCCGTCTGTCTGTCCGTCAGTCCGTCTGTCCGTCCGTCAGTCCGTCCGTCCACAAAACTGGATCCCGCGATAACTTGAAAAGTACTGAAAATATTTTAATGAAACTTGATATATGGATAGATGGCAGTATGGAGATTATGCACGTCTTTTTCTTTTCTTCCTATGTTGAAAATTCTGGTTGCTATGGCAACAAATAGACTGAAAATAAGGCAAATTTTACACATAACCTGGATCCCGCGATAACGCAAAAAGTACTGAAGATATTTTTATGAAACTTGATATATGGATAGATGGCGGTATGGAGATTATGCACGTCTTTTTCCTTTCTTCCTATGTTGAAAATTCTGGTTGCTATGGCAACAAATAGACTGAAACTATGGCAAATTTTACACATAACCTGGATCCAGTGATAACACAAAAAGTACCTAAAATATGTTTATGAAACTTGACATATGGGTAGATGGCAGTATGGAAATTATGCACATCCTTTTCTTATCTTCCTATGTTGAAAATTCTGATTGCTATGGCAACAAATAGACTGAATTTAAAGATTTCTGATTATAGTATTTAAGTTTTTGTAGGATAACGGTAATTAGCCAGTAATTAGTTAACGGTATGCATAGACGGATATATTAATTTAATGAGCTGTCACGAATACTATGTTTAATTTAGTTAATTAATAGACCTGTCAACACTAAACGGGAAGTGTACCTTTTGTACTTTAGATCGTGCATATATAATGGGTTATTTAATTGTTTAGCTGTCAACAAATGCATATATACTCTATGAATTATTAAGTTATTAAATCTTAGGCGTAAAGTATTTTAGTATATAAGGGGAGCGAAATATTCGATTATTTAGTGTAGTTTTTGATGTTAAAGCAGACTCACTCACTTAAGGTTAAATTATGCTAAATACGCAATTGGCATTAATTCTTATTATTTTAAATATTTGTATAAGAATTGTTAAGTTGTTAAAGACATTGTTAAAGCAATTGTGTTGTATTGGTGAACAGTAAATTATATAAAATAAATACATATATATGACGTTTATAAACTTTATATTGTGTTGACTTGTTCATATTGAGTTTATTCAGATCTGAGCGTTACACTACAAGGGACGATTTGGTGCTCTAGTGACTACAGGATTCGATACACCAGAAGTTTTTTTGCGGAACACAACGACGAAGGGGGCCATTATTCGATCAGCCACGGGAACCAGTTTCCAGCGGAGCCAGACACGAGATTCGGTGAGTTTTTTATCCTCTATTTTTTTGTATTTGTTGTTGGCTTAGGACTATGGCAGAACCAGATATTGCTAGAATTTTTGAGAATTTAAGTAGGGAACTAAGTAATGTTAGCTCTTATGTTGGCACACAAAGTATTTCCCAAGTTATCCCGGCTTTTCAAGGTGATCCGGGGGATTTTAAATTATGGATTAAGAGTATTGAGAAATTTGGGGTATTAAATAGGGTACCTGAGGAAAGATTAAAGCTTGTCGCGTATCAGTCAAGTAAAAATTCGGTTAGTGATTTTATTAATAGACATTTAAGAGATCATCCTGACAGCACATGGGATGAATTCAAAACAGAATTAGGTTCAAGGTTTGACATTATTCAAGATCCACAATACGCATTTTCTTTGTTACGATCAATGAAACAAAACAAAAATGAAAATGTTCAACTTTTTGCAGAACGATTATTATCTTTAGCGGAAATAGCTTATAGGGGAACTGACGGGAATTTAGCTCTGATTGAAAGACAAATTATCATGTTCTTTACGGACGGGTTACGTGAAAATTATCTCAAGATGAAAGTCATGCGAGATAATCCAGATACTTTACAAAATGCAGTTCGATCGGCTATGAATGAACAAAATTTAAGAACTAGGTTTAATTTAAGATTTCAAAATAACCAACATTCCTCTGAATATCACCTTTCTCCAGGGCAAGAACCTATGGAAATTGATCATTTTAAAGTCCGAACTTGTGCTTATTGTAGAAAACCATGTCATCATATTTCTGATTGTAGAAAAAAACCTAGGCAAATATTACAGGTAAATTCTGATATCAGATACTCTACCTCGAATAACGGTCAATATAGATCATCAGACCGACCTCATGACAACCAACAAAGGTATTTTAGGCAAAATAATGATAATTACAGACAGAGATATTACCCTAGGGGAAATTTTGGTAATAATGACAGATATACACAGGACAGACAATTAGCAAAACAAGACTGGAAATCTAAACTTACTTGTTTTAGCTGCGGGCAAAAAGGTCACATCGCTAGGGAATGTAAAACACAAATGCGTTATACGCCACGAAAAAACTAATTAACTCTTATTATAGAGTCGATAATAGGAGAAATAAGAAGTCACGTGTTTTCAATATTGCAATTTGCGGTAATCCTAATTCTTGTTTTATAAAAATTGGAAATGTTAGATTTAGAAGCCTTATTGATACAGGTGCTGAAGTATCGATTTTATCATTTAGATCTTATTTGTCACTCAAAAATAAACCAAAATTAATTCATAAATCCGCGAATCTTCAGTCTGTAAATGGTCAATTTTTACACGTTAAAGGTTGTATAGATCTTACATTTAAAATTGGTTCAGTAAAGAAAACACATAAATTTTTTGTGGTAGAAAATATTAATCGAAGCGCTATTTTAGGGAGAGATTTTTTGTCGAAAAATGGTGTTCGACTTTATTATGATTTAAATTGTTTACGAATTGATCACCATTATATTGCTTTAGAGGAAGATATACACGTAGCTTCTATTGTTAGACTCGAAAATGATTGTGTTTTACAACCTCAAACATCACACATAGTAAGAGGAAAATTAAAATATTATCATGGTTTACTAAAGGAAAATGTTCCATATGAATTGTCCGGAAAAATTGACTGTGACATAAATTCTGAACCTCAGGTAAAAATTATAGATTCAGTGATATACCTTCATAGCCATAGGCAAATACCTGTCATGATAGTAAATAATACTCACAAATCTATTAGGTTAAGGGCAGGTACTTCACTCGCGCAGGTAAAGGTTGTTGACAGATATGAAATATCATCCATAACTCAGAACGTAATAAAAAACACGTGTGAGCCAGATTTTTTTGATGATATTCAGGTACCAGTTCAGCACGCTAATATGCTTAAAGATTTTTTAAAATCAAATAGAGATGTTTTTGCAAAAGATGATTCAGAATTGATAGGTACTAATACAATTGAAATGAAAATAGACACAGGTGACCATCCACCAATTAAATTAAAGCCATATAGAATTCCTTTTAAAAATCTTCAAGATACATCGGACGCTATAAAACAAATGCTTCAGGCAGGCATTATTACACCATGTCACTCGCCATGGGCATTCCCTCTGGTCATTGTCTCAAAGTCCGACGGCTCCAAGCGTTTCTGCGTAGATTTTCGAAAACTTAATCAGATAACAGATAATACAGCGTATCCATTGCCTCGTATTGAGGATATAATAGCCAAACTTGGACATTGTCAATATTTTACGAGTCTTGACTTAGCGAGTGCTTTTCACCAAATACCTATCAGAGAACAAGATAAACAAAAAACAGCATTCTCAACTCCAAACTTTGGCATGTATCGATATGAGCGGTTACCTTTTGGATTAGCAAACTCTCCAGGTTATTTTCAGGCTTTAATGAAGATAGTTCTTAAAGACTGTGATGATTTTGCTATCAGTTATATCGATGATATAATTGTATTTAGTTCTAATTACGAAGATCATTTAAAGCATATAGAAACTGTTTTCCAGAGGTTACGGCAACATAGGTTAAAACTCAAGTTGAAGAAATGTCAATTCTTACAGGCTGAAATTGAATATTTAGGTTTCGTGGTTAATCGCCATGGCATTAAACCAAATCAAAACAAAATAAAAGCTATAAGAAGATTATCTCCACCTACTACTTCTAAACAGGTTCGCTCACTTTTGGGTATGACTGGATTTTATAGATTTATGATTAGATCTGGAACAAAAAGTTACACAGAAATTATATCGCCTCTAATTGACTTAACAAGGAAGAATATTAAGTTTAATTGGACACAAGAATGTCAAGAAAGTTTTGATTTATTGAAGGAAAGTCTTACTTCAATTCCATATGTGGGTTTTCCTGATATTAATAAGCCTTATAAACTGTACTGTGATGCAAGTGAATTATGTTTATCGGGGGTCTTATCTCAGGATTGTGAACCAAACGACCAAGGTTCTTATGTTAATCAGAAGCCAATTTATTTCATATCACACCGTTTCAATAAAACGCAAAGAAAATATTCCATAGTTGAGAAGGAATTTTTGGCAATTTTCTACTGTGTAAATAAACTACATCATTATCTACATGGCGCAGAATTCACTATCTATACTGATCAGAAATCATTAATTCACATTCTAGATAAGCCTTTTAACAATAAAAAAATACAGCGGTGGGCAACTGTGCTATCAACTTATAATTGTAAAATAGAACATATCCCAGGAAAATTGAATGTAGTTGCAGATTTCTTAAGTAGACCAGCAAAGCCACAGGAAGAATTAATTGAATCTGAGACAGAGTCAGAAATTTTCAGCGATATTCCAGATAACATGTATGAAATCAAACAATGTAATGCAATTAATACAAATCAGGTAGATGTTAGGAAGATAAGCGAATTAGCAGATGAGCCTAATGAATTAATAGTTGAACCGGTTAAAAACTTAGAAAATTTAAACATGCAAGTTGAACAAGAAAATGATCCAGAAATCGCTTTGATTAAATCAAAATTGCAACAGAATAAAATGTCTAAACATGAGGAAAAACTTTTATATTGAGTTAGATAACATTATTTATTACATTTCGAACTGTGACGACGAGCCTTCATTAAGACTTTTTGTCCCTAGGCAATTACAACAGATGATAATGACAAATTATCATAATTTTGGTCATCTAGGAATACAGAGACTTTTTGCAACTATAAAGGTCAAATATTATTGGCGGAATATGTTTAAAGATATAGTTTCAATTGTAGAACAGTGTGTGGCATGTAATAGTAGAAATTTAAAACCAATCAATACCAAACTTATGGAAACTGAAACACCAAAATATCCTTTTCATATCATAGCAATAGATGTATTGGGACCGCTTCCGCTTACTGCATCAAAGAACAGGGTTATTATCTGTTTTTTGGATCATTTCACGGGTTTTATTGAAGCATTTGCGAGTCCGGATAAGTCAGCCCAGTCAATAGTACATTTCTTTATGACAGAAATTTACAGTAGATACGCTTGTCCCCAAAAGATTGTTACAGATAACGGGTCTGAATTTGTTAATTCATCTTTTACTAATATGTTAGCAGAATTAAATATTAAACACGTACGCTCCACACCCTATTCGCCGACTAGCAATGGTGCTTTAGAACGCAGAAATAGAGACATAGTAAATCTTTTATCAAAACTGGTCAACAATAATTCAAGAGAATGGGATATTCACTTAAACTTAACTTTGGCCGCCTTACGATTCTCGGTTTCATACCAGAACAAGCAATCGCCTTTCTTTAATCTATATGGAAGGGATCCTACGATTCCAATTGACGCACTTCTGAAGCCTCGAGCAAAATATCACGGCACAGATTATAGTCAAATCATATTAAGTGAAAACCATAGAGCTTTTCTAACAACATACAAAATGTTGAAAAAGAATAAAAGAAAACGAGTCGAGAATGCGAATAAAAATAGATCAGACGTTACTTTTCAAGTTAACGACCCGGTTTACTACAAAAATTTCAAAAGGTCAAGTAAATTAGATTCAAAATGGATTCCCTATTACCGTATTATAGAGCAAATTGCTCCTCTCACCTATGTTATAAAAAGTCAATTAGATCAAAAATTACATAAAGTACATGCACGGCAGATTCGTTTAGCAAATGTTTTAGATTGGGATATTCCTAAACCTTCAGGCAGAGGGCGTTCTTGTCAGTATGTTGTTCCGCCCAAAGACATAACTTCGACCAATGAAAGTAACTCCGATAGCTCAGATTCGACGGACGAAAATAATGATGGAAATCAAACATCGCCCGCGGTGTTACGTAGATATAATCATCAACTGGACGATTCAGACGTGTTAGACCATGTTCCTTTGTCACATTTACAAAAACAATTAAGACAAGAAAATCAAATGTCAAAACCAGACTCATTAAGTAGCGACGAGATGGACAATGTACCTTTATCCGAATTACGCGGTCAATTACGTAATCAAACTTATACAGGTAACAAAAGTGATGCTTCTAGCCATAAAATGTCAACAAATAGCTCAGATTCAGACGAAAGTCAAGTACAAACAAGGTCACTCGTAAATAATCATTACTCTTCTGACACAGAAAGTTATGAATTTAATGTTTCATCTATACAAACACAAAAGAAAAAACGTTTTCTCCGCAAACGCCTGAAGCCTCAGTCTGCGGATTCTAAACATCAATCGGTCAATAAATTGTTAGTTGAATGTTTATCTAAGATACTATAAGCAGATTTTGTTGTTTGAGTCAAAGTTAATTTTTTATGTTACTTTAAAAATGCATTCAATTTATTTTTCAGACATGAAGATGTTTATATTGAGTTGCTTATTTCAATTTGCCTGGGCCATGACTAGATATGATAATGTTATTTTTTCAAAAGTTAATGAAATTTCTATAACAAAAGCGCATTGGAACGCAATTTTAGTTTATGATACTAAATTATTCAGCACTTATCTCACTCAAATTTCTACTAATGTTGATACAGTTAACAAAACGTTGCTTGAAATGAAAAAACATTATTTACAAACTAAAGATGAAGATAACTTTTTGCCTTATTTACAAACAATACATGACATGAATTTAGACATCAATAATCTCCGACTAACATATGATAACGTACTAAATCAATACACAGATTTTTTAAGCCTTCGTGACACTAATAAACAAAAAAGAAGTATTTTTGGTTTAGGTAAAGTATTTCGATTCTTATTTGGTACTGCGGATAATAACGATGTTCAATCTATTAAAAGAAATGTTAATAAATTAGCTTCAACACAAAGAAATATCATGCATATTGTGGAGGATTCGCTTTCTATTCTTAATGTTTCTCAGTCACACATTATGGAAAATCATAACAAAATAAATGAAATAATCCATGCATTAACTTCAGTAGAAACTCAAATACATAAATGGAAAATTGCTTTTGAGAGAAGTCTTGAACGTTTTAAAACATATTCTGTCAATAGCAACCACATTATGTTAATATTAAACGATATAAAATTTGCAGTTTCCTTGGCAGCTTTGCACATCAACGATTTTAAAGATAAATTAGATGTATTGAGTTTAGCACAGTGTACTCCAAGTTTAATTTCGCCAGCTTATCTACTTCAATTATTGTTAGATATTCAGCTCCATGCACCCAAAAATTTTGCTTTACCAGCCGACCCGAAAACACAATTGTTCAAATTTTACAGACATTTAAGCACCAATACAATGTTTTATAAAGACCATTTACTTATTCAAATTGAAATTCCTATTACGGAATTAAATGAGAAATTCGAAGTCTATAAAATTTTTAATATGGAAACAGCGTATACTTCACCGAATAACTCTTCAGAGTCTGTAGTTGCTAAATACAAGTTAGAATATGAGGGTTTAATCTATAATAAGGCGAGAACAAAATTTTCAGTTTTAACAAGAAAAGAACTTGATAGTTGTCAAAATAATTTTTTGAAATATTGTCAGATATCAGCTCCAATTTATCAAAGAAGTATTTCCAAAATGTGTGTTTCCGCATTATTTTTACAAGACGACAACGACATTCGTAACAACTGTAAAATTATGGTAGACACAAATGCAAGGTTACCAAAAGCTATTAACATTCTTGATGGACGATGGATTATTAGTTCTGACAAAGACTTAAAGTTTGTAATATTATGTGACAATATACAAACAAACAGACAGGAAGTAATAGCAAAAGCGCCGGTTTCCATAATCTCTTTAAATCAAAACTGTAAAGCTTTTAATAATTACCTGATTTTGACGCCTTGGTTCAATAAGAATTCCACAGTTCATGCTTTAAATGGAGATCTGCACTCAAATACATTGTTCTGGTCAAACACATCAAAGAACCATTTATTTCAGACACTAAATGAAAGCTTGCATCATTTTTCAAGTATAAAGATACCAACTGATTTAAAACCTATAAGTCATATACCGCTCGAAGCATTAGTCTCTAAATTACATTATCTACAAACGATATCGTTAGATAGCGATAAACCATTTCCTTTATGGGGCATTATTTTGATTATATCTGGGGTTATTTTTTCGATCATTGTGATTTTAATCAGTGTATTTTTCATACGAAAACGTCTTTCGAAAAAATATGTCTCTGTTAAATGTCATGGTCCGGAGTTGATAATGAATGCAAAAAGTAGAGATAAATCACTCTATACGCTCGTGTCTAAGATGTCAGAGATGGACGACAATTCTTCAGAAAAAATGGAGCAGCCTCAGGGTTCTATCCTCTCTTCATTATATCCAAAATTGTAGACACTTCCAGATAGACAACATTAACGTAAAAGAGACGTCAACATCAGAAGATATTCTCAAGATAATAGGAGAACTGTCAACTTAACATATAATTATAAATGAGTGAAGTCTGAAATATACATAAAACGCACTTTTGTTGCACATTAGATAATAAATAACTGTCAAAGAAATGACAATGTTATCAGTTTGACGAATTAGTTTGTTAAGAATGAAACGTATAAAAACGTTGTTCTACCATCTTTGCAGTACAGTAGTCAAACTTTTTCTGTGCGAATTACTGTACTCCATTTACAAGGATATCTTATTGATACTTTGTTATTTTAAACTGTTCACAGTGTGTTATTTTTATATTACAAGGACTTGTTATATTTTGAACTTGTAAATTTGGAACAGTGTTAGAAATTATTACATCTAACTGCTAAAAAGGAATTTTTTCGGAGGAAATATTGTTTGAACAACTCGTGTCATTTGAAAATCTACAGTTTTTTTTTTGTGTTTAGTGTTACTACCGTGAAGAAAATGAATACCTTTATCCGTCGCTTTAATGTTGGTATGCTCTTCAGAGCATATCTTTTTGAATATTTGGTGGCTAAGGTGCTTTGTGCAATCGAGGAACGGTCAGCACCATATTGTGACATATGTGAGTCAGCCCAACAATGTAGTCACCATGTGGTGCATAAAATTGACATTATTTCTAACTTTACGTGGTGTTATTCAGAAACTGTTCTAAACTTAACGGGGAAGTTAACTAGGCATTTCTTCCTCCTACGGGCAGAACGGGACATTCTAGAACGAGTAGCAGCACGAAATCAACAGGCCTGCGACCATTGTCTAGAACTGGAAATTACACCGGTAGCGTTGGGAAATCTTGTCAATGACTGTCGGTTCATGGAATCGATTTTCGACCGGTTATTGAACAAAGCTGAACATGCGACAGCAAGTCACTTCTATCCGCTCTGGCAGACCGCTCAAAGATGTAAAATGGACGAAGTGGATTAGAAGACGACACCAAATTTATTTTATTTTATGTTAAAGATTATTATTTAAAGAACATTCGAAAAATTTTTAAGTAAAACAAAAAGAAAATTTAGATATTAACTATTAAGTATTTCATGGAAAATCTTTCATTTAGTTTCTTTTAAATCTTATTTCGGTCAGATTTTTTATATTTTATTCTTTAATTTTAAATACCATTGTTTATATCGTTATTGGTGACAGAGTTTTATTTACATTTTTAATAGTTCTTTGATTTCTATTTTCAGGTTCTGGTTAAGGGTATTATACGGGTTTTATATATTTCTTTTATTGTTTTTATTTTTATTTTCTTATTGTTTTTTTAACACTTTTAGTAATTACTTTGATAACAATTTCTACTGCATCATTTCTGTATATATAAATGATAGGAATTTAAGACTTCCACTGATTAATTTAAAATATTTGTTTTTTTTCTCTCATTTTTGTCACATGCTAATACACATTACATGTACATGTTTCTTAATTATATTTTATATCGTTTCAGATTAACACGGAGGCATAATCTCCAGGATAGATATTCAAAAAGCAGAAAAGAAACAACGTTTCATGGACAAATTATACAGAAAATGTGTTAATTTTATAAAAAGTGTATTTTGTGTTTTCTTATTTGATACATAGTGTAATTAATTCTATTCTTGGAGATTCTGCTTTCGTCAACAAGAAAAATTTTAAAATGTGAATTTAAAAAAAATTAGGACATACCTGTGTTAAAATTTAATTAAAACTAAGAAAGTGATTATGTTTTTTTAGGACAGATAAGTGTTATTCTCGCAATACAAAACAGTGTTATTTTAGGACAATTCAATCAGTGAAAATAGTTATATATACGGAACATTTCTTGTTTTATCATATTAATATAAAATTATATTCTTATATGTTTGTTAACAGAAATATGTAAAAAAAAAAAAAAAAAATAGAAACTATTAAATATGATTTGTTTTAAGTAATATTACTTTCAATTTTAAACTTGTATATGAATAATTATATCTCTTGCTATATATAAATTGTAAAATGTCAATTGCTTACCTTTAGTTATTTTTATTTTTGAGTTCGATTTTTTTTCCTTTTTCAATCTTGAAACTATTCGTAGTCTTTCATACTTAAAAGTGACATAAATTTTTTCTTTAAATAAGTTTTATTTTAAAATACCTGGAAGTATTTTTAATTGGTCGGGAAGATATTGTAGGATAACGGTAATTAGCCAGTAATTAGTTAACGGTATGCATAGACGGATATATTAATTTAATGAGCTGTCACGAATACTATGTTTAATTTAGTTAATTAATAGACCTGTCAACACTAAACGGGAAGTGTACCTTTTGTACTTTAGATCGTGCATATATAATGGGTTATTTAATTGTTTAGCTGTCAACAAATGCATATATACTCTATGAATTATTAAGTTATTAAATCTTAGGCGTAAAGTATTTTAGTATATAAGGGGAGCGAAATATTCGATTATTTAGTGTAGTTTTTGATGTTAAAGCAGACTCACTCACTTAAGGTTAAATTATGCTAAATACGCAATTGGCATTAATTCTTATTATTCTAAATATTTGTATAAGAATTGTAAAGTTGTTAAAGACATTGTTAAAGCAATTGTGTTGTATTGGTGAACAGTAAATTATATAAAATAAATACATATATATGACGTTTATAAACTTTATACTGTGTTGACTTGTTCATATTGAGTTTATTCAGATCTGAGCGTTACACTACATTTTTTCACTATAAGTTCTTTATTTCTAAAGGTATTTTCTTCAAACTTTGAATATAAGTTGCTTGTCATCAACCACATCATATGTGACAAGGTTTACAACTCTAGCACAAAATTTATCAGAATTACCTCCCTTGAACTTAAAATTTTCATGAAAAAAACATTGTTTTTTTTTAATAACTTCTTTTTCTGAATGTATCTACTTCAAACTTCATATAAATGTTTCTTATTATCACTCAACAGTTGTGAGTGTTCAATACTCTAGCAAGACTATTTCCAGAATTATGCCCCTTTTGAACTTAGACTATTTTTTGAGAAATTGGTAATTTTTACTCCAACTTCTTCAATCATGATAGGATTTTAAAAATGTTATATTTTGATAACAGGGATGTTAAAAAATAACTTTAGAGTGTCCTTCAGACAGTCCATCTGTCTGTACATAAAAACTGTTTCCTGTGATCACTTTTAAAGAACTTTTTCAACAAATTAACTTAAAATAGGAACATAAGTGAATGGCCAATGGCCCTTCAGAATGTTGCTTGGGCTCTTACCGGTAGGGGACTTATGGATTGCTTGCAATACTATGATAATTGCTTGTTTTTAATGTTTTATGTTATCCCTGATTGATCTACAATGCTATGTCAGCTTACCTTTGTTCTTGTCGAAAGTCGTGGATTAAATCATTAATCAACTTTATTGAAATGAATACCAGATGATGATATGGGAGCTACGATAATAAATCTCTATATGTATCCTAAGAATGAACGTAACCCCTGTTTCGCTATGTAAAGAAAGAAATCATCACAGACAATTTCAACACCGTAAATTTTTATTTCTTTACATTACTGTTGACTATAAATATATATTTCGTGATGTTAATTTGCGGTTTTTACAAACTTCCCATATTTCTTTTCTATTTACAAACGAGTAAAACGAAATAAATTCTGGGATGGATAATCCTACAAAAGCTCCGAATATTGTTTGATTAAGTCCGTTCATGGGTGACAATGGAAAGTGGAGCAATTCTTACAACCTCTAGCACTTGCTGAGGCTATAATAACAAATTTTATTAAATCCATAAATCAAAGCGATATGCAAAGTAAATCATCAGAAATTCAGATATTATGATATCTTAATATACATCTACGTAGGTAAAAACAATCGGGAAATTTGCTAGTAACTAAAATCTGCAGATATGTAAGAAACATATTTTTCAGAGAAAACAGAATCCCTAAAGAAAGCCCAACACGGCAAAATTAAAAATGTTGCAGGCTCGGTTTGATTGAGCCTATTCCTGGACGGTTGTGGTAATTGCAAGCTACCGTCCACATCCATCTAGCATCGACAATGACTACCGTTTTAATACAAGAGTAATAACTAATAGCAAGTTTAATTTTGTAGGCATGAAAACCAATAAATGCAGCATTTGTTGTTTTCTTATTTTTTTACTGCAAATAATACAGAAACGAATCTGTAAAAAAATATTCTAAATTAAATAGAAAGATTTCTAAATTCGTAGACAGCTTTGTAATTTAACTTATTTGGGGCATATACATATATTATGTCTGTTTCAAACTAATTTCAGACATTCGCAATACATGTCTCCGCTTGAGGAAAGCCAGAAACCAGAAAATACAACCTTCAACTGCACGCCGTTTTGTTTATCTTACTTGCACTTTATTCTACATTACGTAACTAAAATAGATATAAAAGTAAAATCAAATTCATTTTCATTTATTTATACTGGTATTGGAGTTGCTGGTGTTATTAGATTATTTTGATAAGATTTCTTGTTCTTTTTTTCTTTTTATAATGTTTTTTATATTTAATTTATAAATTCATATTTAGTAACTGAAGGGTTAATTTTAATTATTTTACAATTTTCAGAACATGAACTGTACGCAACAAAAATGCTGCATAAATAAATTGTACAAATTAGAGAAAAATGGAATTCCTAAAGAACGCACAAAAGAACAAAATTGTAGATGTTACAGGCTCGGTGTGATTGAACCTGTTCATGGACGGTACTGGCAAGTGCAAGATACTGTCCACGCCCCTTAGTACCAGCTTATTAATAAGCAGAATTTTACATTAATAGTGAATTTTGAATTACGAAATATCGGCAGATGTGTTCATACGACGGTTATCATAAACCATTCAATGTGACATGTTAGTGCCATTCCATGAAAAGTGGCCCATGGTCCCCAATTAAAAAAAAGTTTCTCTCATAAAAAAGATGACGATTATGAATAAAGGTAAATAAAGTAACACACTTGTATAATAACGTCGAAATTTAAACAATGGTCAAATTATCAGTCTAAATCAAACCGACCCCGAAAAATTTTCAATTTCGTCGTTTTGGGTGTTCTCTAGGCGTTCCGTTTTTTCCCTTCTTGATTCTTTTTTTTTTTTCAAGAATTTTGCATTAAATGATAATTAATGATAGATCAGTACTGCGCAATATTTATATAACATGCCAGATAATGCTGTAACATTTGCTTTTGTTTTAAAAACTATAATAATTATTAAATTCTAGAAGCACAAAATAAAATATATAAACGGCGGTGTGCAACACATGTCGAAACGGATTACGTATATTTCCAGAAATTAATGCAGATAAGTTAAGAATTACGTTTTTGATATGAAAAGGATTTATTCTCGCATTAGTTAAGCGCGCCACACACATCCACATGCAAAACGATTTATACATGTAGCTCTTTATTTCGACCGAACTTGATTGCAATACTCCTTATTTGTTACATTATATAAAAGTTTAAAAAAAAATGAGAATCCATGCAGGTGGTCGATTACTGAAATACGTTTGACTTGTAAGATAATAAATAATACCTTAACTACTATTTCCGATATCATCTTTTAAATATATATTCTCAGAATAAGATTATACGCGTAGTTTTCAGAAATATGTAAGACAATATAAATCATGATGATCATAAGGAATTTTGTTTTCACTATTCAATAATTATTGGAAAACATTTTAAAGCTGAGTAATATGTAAGATAAAGAATTATTGTTACAATCCCAATATAATCTGAAATTGAGAAAATTGGAATACGTAATGAACGCCTAAAAACGGCAAAATTGAAAATGTTGCAGGATCGGTTTGATTGAGCCTGTTCATGGACGGTATAGTGGTAGTTTAGCGCGAAGGAAGGTAGTCTAGTACTGGTGTAACTCTCCAGGAACGATGTTTAGGAAACTACCCGACTTATGACTGAAATACTGTTGGAAAAAGGCGTAAAATGAAACAAACAAACAAACATGGACGGTACTTGTAAAAGCAACTCACCGTTCAAGCCAACTAGCACCGGCTTAAGCAGAATTAATCTCTTAAGTTCAATTTAAGCTATAAAAAACGTTATTTGAGTCCGCTTTATAGCTTTATTTATTTATCCAACATTAATTTATGAAATATGTATGCACGCACAGTAAAAATATATAAATAACAGCTCATGAGCATATATCTTATCATACAGAAAACTATTAAAAATGAAATATTAAGATTGAAATGTTATAAAAGCTTGTTCAGCTTTTTTTGAAAGAAACCCTTTGCTTAATGTGCCTTTAGCAGGGATTCCACACTTAGCGCTATTTATTACGTGTGAATAATAGATATACAAATATCTGTGTTACTTATTAAAAAAAAAACATTCACAATTCTTCATAAGTTATAAAAGTTACTAACAAGTTACATGTAATTATGTAGCGACATCTGATAGTAAAAAACGCTCTGGTATCCATTAAAAATATTACAAAACATGGTTTTCAAATTATCGTACATTTTTGTAATTGGCGTAACATTTTTTTATTTACTACATTGAGATTTAGCGCGAAATTCCGCCGACGGGGATTTCTGGATGCTCGTCGTATTAATGATACACGATTAGCATAAATAAACCGGAAGTTGAGAAATACCAGACGATATTTTTGACATTCCTTATTCATTCCGGTTGGCATAACAATCATTAAATTATTGTAACTATCAGTAAAGTACATTTACCTCATTAAAATCGACCTGAAAATCATAACTGTCCCGCTGTTTTCAATGCTGTACGAGATGGGGCGAAAATTGTTTGAAAGTTTTACACGGTAACTTAATATGCATTAAATATTTTACTTAACATGAAATTCATATCATTAATATTATGTAAGAAACATTTGTTCATGTAGGATAAAGCTTTGTTAATGTAATGTGTTTTTGTTCATGCAAGATGTTTTTGTTTATGTACGATATGACTTTTTTCATGCAATGTGCATGCTTTTTGTTCATAAAAGAATGAAAAATATGTTGTTGTTCATGAAAGATGTTTTTTGTTCATGTAATATGCTTTTGTCCATAAAAGATGTGTTTTGTTCATGTACTATGCTTTGTTTATGAAAGATGTGTTTTTGTCCATGTACTTTGCTTGTGTACATGAAAAATGTGTTTTTGTTCATGAAAGATGTTTTTTGTTCATGTAATGCGCTTTTGTTCATGAAAGATGTGTTTTTGTTCATGTGATATGTTGTAATGTTGTTTTTTCCTGTTTTTTTCTTTTTTGTTCATAAAAGATGTTTTTGTTTCTCAAATATGATG